CTGTCCATATCAGCAAACATTAAATTTTATTGTCGTTTACTTTTCAGCATCCCCTTGGAGTGATAATCAGGATTCACCATATAAAAATGACTTATTGCAGCCGTTTTATGCGTGCGTAAGTGTGAGTGCATACGCGCGCGTGTGTGTACGTACATTTGTGTAATAGGTACAATTATCTACGGGTATATGTTTACCTGCATTATATGTGTGCGTGTGTTTGTCTATGATTGGACGCGCATGCGCGTCTACGGGACGGGTTCAATTAAGAATGGAGAACAGGGTTCAGAATGGGAGCATTTCCGTTGCATTTTAGAAGGGAGGTGCTGATTTTCAAAATGTAAGAAGACCTTATTAAAAGCAGATGCCCAGTTGATGAAACTGAATACACAAGAGTAACAAAAACCGGTGCTAAAATTTAAAAAAAAAAGTCCTCGACAAAAAAATTTCTGAGAAGAGAGACTGATTGTTATCGAGAAACATTTTATTCTTCTCAAAGTTTTTTAGTGTGATAATAATTTAATTTTCATGGATTTTCTTTTTATCTGATCAAAAGTTAATACTAAAAAAGACAAATCAAAAATTAAAAAAAAATCTAGCGGTTTCAAATTTTAAACAGCAAACCTTTCGTTTTTATAACTAAGAATTCATTAAAGTCGCTATGGAGCGTCTCCTGCTGCTCAATGGAGAGGCTCACGGCCATATTAGGTTGAAACAACGCTTCTTGTACAAACAAATTAAGCAACTTAGAGCAGAGTTTTATTTTGTTTTGTTTTTTTTGTTTTTTTCGCAAAAAATGACTTTTCAGTGACAGTACCTAAATCTATTAGCATTTTTCTACAATTCTGAAATAGGATTCCCACTGCGCTTAATTTTTATCGTTTGCCAATTCAAAGAATACCGTGCGTTTCGTACAACGTCGCTGATTGGTTAATATTTGTGAATACAAAGATTCAAATCTTTCGAGCTGGTATTGTACAACAAATGACTTTTCAGTGAAAGTACTTAAATCTGTTAGCATTTTTCTACAATTATGAAACTGGGGTCCCACACTGCACTTAAATCTGTTTTATTTACTCATTTTATTTTTAATTTTATTTTATTTATTTGACAGCAAAACCGCCAAATCAGTGGAGTAAAGAAGAAGTTGGAGCTTGGTTAGCCTGGTGTGCTGAGGAATTTTCTATTGATTCTGTCTCTCTTGAAAGATTTAATATGAATGGTAAGTAGTCTTCTTTAAGACGTGGGCGATCATGGCTCTACACAGCTTTCTATCCTTTGTAGCAATAAGTAAGTTCTGTCGCCCCGCTATCCATCCTAATCATTGTTCTGACATCCAACCACACATTCCTTTGCTCCTCCTCCTTTCAATATATCTTGTGAGTGTTAAATTTTCCAAGCCCTCTTTCCACATTATGTGCCTTAGAAATTTCAACTGTCTCTTTCTAATTCCAAGTATACACATTCTTTTCACTTCCATTTTTCTTGAACGTGACTGGATTACGGCCACATCACGTTAAAACACTGGTTTTTGTAATAACTTCGAAGTTAAGCCACGTCGAACCTGGACAGTACCTAGATGAGTACCGCTTGGGAATACGACATGCTGTAAGCTTGGATGTGCGGGTGGTGTAATGGATAATGACTCAAAATTTTTAATCAGAGGGCCGAGTTTCAATTCCCGTTGGTTTTGTTATATTCACTTACTTTCAAAAAGGTATGAATCCAGTTCTTCTCCCCCAAGCTATGGGCTAATTAGTAGGATTGTAAACTTGAATATGCAGGTGGTGTAATGGATAAAGGTATGAAATATTTCTTGTGGACCGTTTGTGATTTATTTGAAGCCGAAACGTTTTGGATTGAGCTGACCTCAAATAATGAGATTAGGAGAAAAAATTCTGGTATTTTTTATTTATGTGTTGTTGGATTTACTTTGGTTTATTAAGTTTCACGTGCAATCGACTTGTGAAACAAACGTTAGTATAATTTATGGCGTTCCGAATTCAAGGAAAGATGACGGGTTGATAAACCGTAAAAGAAAATCAATCAATCAACAATTGGAAAAAATATTTAAGGTAAACGAGCAGGAAGATAGGATTCTAATGGGCACAAAGTAGGGGATCGGTTTTCTATTATTTTAAAGTAATAAACTGATCCCCCCTAAGAATTACTATATATTAATATAATAATTGGAAAAATATATTGAAAGGATTTGGTATTCAGGCCTATTATTAGCTTTTCATGTGAAAAGCTAATAATAGGCCGAATACCTAATCATATAATAAAACAGATACCTGAAGAAGTCTGCAATTTGAACCGAAACTTTATGAGTTCGAAACGCAACATGCTGGTATCCAGTAGCGAGATATATCGGAAGCAAGACTTTGATATTTTACAAGCAGAAATATCAATTGCAAATATATTTTTTTTGTTGTAATTGCTGTCATGTTAAATAAACCTTAAAAAAGAATGTTGTTTACTTTCTGCCGGCAAAAAAGAAATAATTGTTTAGCATAATTTCTGTTTTAAAAAGGTTTTAGGGTAGTGCGTCATTTTTGAGAAAGATCACAAGGTCATCTGTCCAGTTGTGCTTCAAGGGGTGGGGGTTGCGCGTAATCGTATGCATTTACACACACACACACATATGTATATATATATATTTATATCCGTGATTTTATAACACATTGTTGCTTGTGAAGTTCGCCTATTGTGCACTTGAGTTTTTTTTGTTGTTTTTTTTTGTTGTTTTTTTGTTTTCTTTTTTGTTTGTTTTATTTGTATGTTTTTGTTTTTGATGTAACGAATTTGTGGCTAGTAAAAGCAAACATGATGACGGACACGAGGTACAATCAAAATGACACAACGACACAAAGAAGGCACAGCTGACGAAACAGGCATCGACGATTGATGTACGGTTTTCCCGCTTAAAGTTTGCCCGTGTCAGCCATGCCCAAGTGTCGTACATTTTTTGTGCAAACCACACGCGTATAAATGTCACGCACAATAAAACCTCGAGTATTTTTTTTGTTTTTTTAAACGAATACACAAGAGTAAGAAAAGTCATTTGAGGCCCCAATACTCTTTCGTTTGCAGAGTAAGTTTAACTCGTCAACATTAATGTTCTGTTGACACAGGACGCAATTATTATCAATTTTCGCCTTTTACCTTTTGTTGTGATAAACAAACAAACAACATTCATGACATCATTTGGGGCGTTCGTTTATTTTTGTTTCTTATTTTTCTTACGAATTGGAAAGAAGGGGGAAGTTAAGGTGGGGAATACATTTTTTTGTTGTTTTTTTTTTCATGTTTGGCAGTTTCTGTCTTACGGAATATAACGGACAACAGAGAAATTTACGAAGATTTGGTCATTATAAAACAATATCATATAGATAAGGTATTTATTATTTTTTTTAGGCCAATCCTACATACAACGAATGTGTGTTCGAAATACTACTTTTCACCTGGGATCGTACACTGGCCATCGTATTTGTAAGAGAATGCACAAGCACTTTATTCATTAAAACAAACAAGCCGTTCATCAAACATACAACAAATACATGAAGCAATCACCCAAACAGTCTAACAAGCAATTATATATTGCAGTCGTGAAGCAATCACCCAGGTAGTTCGTCAGTCACCTAGCTAGTTCATCAAGCAATGAAACATCAAGTTCAAGTTATTAGCTTTTCATATATGAGCCTTTTAATATATTTTTCCAATTATTATATTAATATGTAGTAATTCTTGGGGGGATCAGTTTATTACTTTGAAATAATAGAAAACCGATCCCCCACTTTATGTTCATTAGAATCTTATCTTCATACTCGTTGACCCAAGACATCAAGATGATGCCATATTTTGTTAAGTCTTTACTATTATTAGCTTTTCACATGTGAACCTTTCAATATATTTTTCCAATTATTATATTAATATGTATTAATTGTTGGGGGGGATCAGTTTATTACTTTAAAATAATATGAAACCGATCTCCCACTTTATGTCCATTAGAGTCTTATCTTCCTACTCGTTGACCCATGCCATCAAGATGATGCCATATTTTGTTGTCTTTACTATTATTAGCTTTTCACATGTGAAACTTTCTATATATTTTTCCAATTATATTAATGTATAGTAATAATTGGGGGATCAGTTTATTACTTTAAAATAATAGAAAACAGATCCCCCACTTTATGTCCATTAGAATCCTATCTTCCTGCTCGTTTACTTTAAATATATTTTCCAATTGTTGATTGATTGTTTTCTTTTACGGTTTATCAACCCGTCATCTTTCCTTGAATTCCGAACGCCATAAATCATACTAACGTTTGTTTCACAAGTCGAATGCTCGTGAAACCCAACAAACCAAGGTAAATCCAACAACATTACAATAAATATATAAACTGATCCCTCACTTTGCAACCATGATTTAGTGATACGATTCTTACTAAATAACCCATAGCTGGTGACGGAAGAGATAGAGTCATAGCTAACCAAAACTTGATAAACAAACAAGAAATTATAACTATTTACATCATTCAGACTGTTATCCTCATCTTTATTGTCACATTCACGACGTTTCGGTCGTTGTTCACTCCGACCTTCTTCAGGTGATATTTGTTGGAATTTCGAACCGGACCCTTTATTTAGTCCACCGGGGGGGGATTGTAGTATTTCCTTTTATATCTCAGTTTCAGTTAATTCGCCTAATTCATTAATTACGAGTTCTACTAATTAACCCGTAGCTGGGGGACGAGGTGGATTCATACCTTTCCGAAGTGAACCTTGCGCATAAGTAAATATAGCTAATTCGAACTCGGCTCTCCGATTTCCAATTCTGAGCCGTTATCCATTACACCGCCCGCACATTCAGGTTTACAACAACTGGTTTTCTCAAGCCCTGACCCGTCTAGATATTGACCAGGCTTGACGTTGCTTAACTTCGGTGTTTCAACGTGTTGTAGCCGTAAGCGCACTTACACCGTACACACACCCAAGTTTAGAGCACCTCTTATTCGAAGCGGTCACCCATCAAGGTACTGACCAGGCTCGACGTTGCTTAACTTCAGTGATCGTACGGAATCCGGTGTTTCAGCGTGATGTAGCCGTAAGCGCATTACACAGTACACACACCCAAGCTTAGAGCACATTTTATTCGAAGCGGTCACCCATCAAGGTACTGACCAGGCTCGTCGTTGCTTAACTTAACCGGTGTTTCAACGTGATATGGGCGTAAGCGCATTACACCGTATGCACACACAAGTTTAGAGAACCTTGTATTCGAAGCGGTCACCCATCCAGGCTTGATGTTGCTTAACTTCGGTGATCGTACGGTGATATGGGCGTAATCTCAGTTTTACCAAGTCCCAATTGAAATGACATAAAAATGTTTGACTGCATCTTAATTGAATATATGTGTTGTAATAATAATAGTAATATTATCCGTTTTAATGAAACACCCGTCATTCATTGACGCTATGTTAATACCATTCAACGAAACAGAAGGATCTTTTTTTTTTTTTTAGAAGGCTGGGAGGTGTCTCTGTTTGTGGGTAAATGAGAACAGTTATGCTTTGGAGGCATTAAAGTTTACAAGCCATTTCCTGACCCAGTCAACCACAGATTAGAGTCCAGGTTAACTTTGTCAGCAATACTGGATTTACTATTGAGACAGGAGTAAATGGTATTGTGTGGAGACTAAAGTTGTTTTCCCTTGGGTTGAGCTGATGGGAATTCAGTCCCTTTAGAGAGAAGAGCTCTTCTGTCCTTTTTTTTTTCTTTTTTGCTTCCGTTTTTTCTGAGGAACGGACTTTACCTTCCTGACCACCAGGGCGTCCACACACGTGAAAGATGGACAACATGTGCACAGCCTAATGTGAAGAAAAAAAAGTAATTTCGATTCACTTAGCTACGGGCGGTCAAAGACCATAAAGCTGGTATATTATTTCTTTGTTCTCGTTCTGCAAACATTCTCTTTCCTTGGACAGTATGAACAATCATTCGTTTTGGGACATGTGTAAATCCAGTTGCCATGAAAATATTTGTAGAAAAGACAGCGGGAAGCCTCGTCACGCCTGTGAGAAAGTATGCTGATAGGAGGCAGGGAGAGTTCTCCATAGTGAGTAAATGAGAGCAGTTTTGTTTTGGAGGCATTAAAGTTTACAAGCCCCAGTCAACCACTGATTGGAGGCCCTTTTCTAGACCAACGCCCAGATTAACTTTGTCAGCAATGCCGGATTTACTATTCAGACAGGAGTAAAAAGTTGAGTCGTCTGCAGTGATGCCTACTTGGGAACTTATATATATATATATATATATATATATATATATGAATTGATGTTTTCCCAATACTATAGGCATTATTTATTGCCTGTTTATATTTCTGGGATAAGGTATTATGTAGATTATTTACATTACTCGGACTATTGTCCTCATCTTTATCACCATATTTATTACAACGTTTCTTCAAACAAATATATATATATATATATATATATATATATATATATATATATATATATATTTGTGTGTGTGTATATATGTGTGTGTCTTTGTATAGGATTAATACAAATATAAAATTTGTCAATCAGCTGATTGACGTTGCCTTCAGCGTCACGACTGTAGAGTTTTGTTGACGGACATTTCAGTAATCGTTCCGTCCACTCGTCAGGTGATATCCGATTAATATTTTGGATATGTAGACCTCTCTCTCCGTATCTCTCTCTCTCTCTCTCTATATATATATATAGGGAGAGAGAGAGAGAGAGAGATTTATATATATTTTATTTTATATGCGCAGTACGTATTTGGAAAGTACCCAATATCAGTGATAGAGCTAGCATATCCAGTTGTATGGATACGAGCTTGTGGCCCTAAAGGCATGAAACCCAACGCCACAAGCTCGTATCCATGATGTGTTTTTAAAAAAAACACATTACAACCAAAAAACGTTTGCGTCACCTCTCTTCTCTTCAATATATATACTTTTCTCTCGTTGGAACCACTACAACCTCTTTCTTTTTATTTTATATATATATATATATATATATATATATATATATATATATATATATATATATAAAGAGAGAGAAAAGAGAGAGAGAGATATGGAAGTATTTGAATTTACATCACTTAGTCTGTAGCCTAATTATTTGAAAAAGTATTTATTTTAAAAATTATCCCATTACATTAGCTCATGATGATATCCTTTTGTTATTTAAGTAGTTTGGCTTATTTTGACAGAAGCCCATGAGCATGGGTCACGCAACGAAGATGAAACTTAGTAGATTTACTGGTAGACTAACTGACTAACTATAAACCGACGCTGAAGTGGCCCGACCCACGTTTTAAATTTACTAGTTTTTCTTCCTTATTGTGTTAATTTATTTTCGCCTTTCTTTTTCTTTGTTTTCTTTCACCCGCTGCGTACTTTTTCGTCCTTCCCTTCTAAAAGCCGAAGGTGCGGCCAAACAATCCTCTTAAATATTCTGTAAACATTTTACAACAAAAGTGAGAGAAAAGAAAATGACGTCATTAAAAGAAGCTTTTGCTTGAAAAGCAAACAAAAAGAACAAATAAATAAATGAAGAAATAAAGTTTAAACAAAAACAAACCCTAAAAACCCGGAACTTTATACTGGGCGTTTTCAGGTCACTTTTCTTTCTTTTTTTTTCCACTCTGAGCAAAGCAATAAAGCGACTAAGACGCAAGGTGTTACACTGAGTGTTAGAAAAATATGAAAATAAAACTATCAAAGAGAGAGGAAAATAAAAGACAAGAATTAAAAGGACAGAAGATAACGATTATAGTTAAAATTTAAATTTAAAATTTTTCGGTCAAATCATGATGCAATTGTTAGCCTTTGTATATTCGATTCTTACATTTTTTTTTTCACATCAATTTTAAAACTAATCTGTTAATTTAAGCTACTCTCAGGTGACAAATTTCGATCGTCACTGGGTACCTTGTGCCACATCTAAGCTACGCTTGGAAAATTACTATATATAATCGCCTAATGGCTTGCTACACATTTCTGAGGTCACCTGTCTCCTAGGGCGACTAACCAATCCCTGTTGCAGACGACTGCTCAGGCACATTTGTATTTGTTGAGCACACGCACAAACACAGATTCAATCTTTGGTTCATACTGCAACTATACCGAGCGGAAGTTACAGCTTCTGGGAGAGAATGCATCGTTTGGTGCAATCAGCAATTTGAACAAAGTCGGTACACTCAAACCCTCAGTCACGATGACTTTTGACTTGGTGCTAGCTTAATATCGACAGATTTCGAACAGTCCCGTCGACCCAATTTCATTCTTGGCTTGAGTCAACCGTTCGTATAGTTTTTAAGCAACTTCCGATAAGCCAGTGGACGAGTATTCAGAACGTTCACTTTCTTACCATGAGAGCAGGGTTCGAATCTCACCATGGTCGATTTATAACTTCTTGATGTTATCGTCCTAGGGAGGCGAGATCCCAGCGTGTGGAACCGTTAAAAAAATGCCCGAAAACCACACACATACATACATACATACATACATACATAGAAGTGATGTTTCGAAAGTAATACCTCCCATCTATTTTTATGGAATCTGTAAAAGATGCAATAAATTTTCGTTTATAGACCACCATTTCTCATGAATTTTAGATAACGATGAATATTTGGTGGGTTGACAGCTACACAGGGCGTGACTTGCCATACACATCACTGTGGTTACTGCTGGAAAGCATTACTCACCACCTAACTGTGCTCACATGCATTGTTTAGTTTCCGTAAACGTTCGTTAATTTACATTCTGTTTTATGCTTCAAGGCCATCTTCACGAAGATTTGAAACATGAAACAGACTGTAGATAGATAGATAGATAGATAGATAGATAGATAGATATGTGAACATACTTAGATAGATAGATAGATAGATAGATAGATAGATATGTGGACATACTGAGATAGATAGATAGATATGTGAACAGACTTAGATAGATAGATAGATAGATAGATAGATAGATAGACCGATTTCAACAGTAGAGCGTAATTGCATGAATGTCTATTAAATATATAGGGTCATTAACACAGAACATGAGTTGAAACATGAAACAGACTGTCCATGTTCAGTGTTAACATCAATGTCCACTTTTATATTTACATAAGCTCCGTCTCTGACATTGACCACTTTAATTCATAAATATAGCATACCTTAATAATAAAAAGGTTTAAACACTAATATCCCATGGTTATAATTTATTCCATTGGAATCGTAAATACGATCCAATTCATCAGACCTACAAATTCAAAAAGAAAACAGAAAAAACAACTCCGGAAATAAAAATAGAATTTAGAGAGTGTGTAAGTATGAGAGTGTGGGACGAATGTTAGAGCTAAAGAGAGGGGTAACAGACAAGAGAAGGTGGGAGATTAAACCTTAACAGAGGGAAGTTTTAGAGAGGTGAGTGGAAGAGGTTTAAGTGAGAGAAATATGAATGTTGTCGGATGTCTAATACATTAAAGATACATTTCGTGGTGACATACACACACCATAGACGATCTAATCTTAAAGATCAGAATAAGAGGGAAGGAGAGGAAAAGAAAAGAAGAAGGGGTGGGGGAGAGAGATGGGGCGAGGGAAACTAAAACTGAAGGGCATTTACTGAAAGGGCCGCTGTGTAATTAACAAAAATTTGACAAAATTAATATCGACAAATATAAACATATAAAAAATAAATATAACGATTATCTAATCTAGCAAGGACCTATATTTTTATGTTCAAAAACACATGCGAATACACACATACACAATAACATATACACGTACATGCATACATATAGGCGTGTACCCACATACACACATACATAATTAACTGATTTAAAATATGGTTTCTTCGCTACACAGAAATTACCACGTTTCAAAAACCGAAGCTAAAAACTTCATATTTAATATATATATTTTATATATAATTAAATTAAAAGCATTAGTTCTGTTTCAAATAATTATTATCATAATATATATATATATATATATATAATGATAATAATTTAATTATATATAAAATATATATATATTAAATTTGAAGTTTTTAGCTTCGTTATATATATATTATATATATATATAT